GTCGGGGGCGCTAACGCGCGCGGTGTAGGGGGTTCTCCCTCTGCACCACAGCCCTGGCGAAAGAAAAGAAAGAACCCTAGCCTTGGCGAAAGAAAGAACCCTATGTCCCAAAGATGCGAGCGAGAGAGAGAGAGAGAGAGAGAGAATAGCCATTTTGGCTCAACTCGGGAGCCCACCCCCCGGGTTGAGCCTCCGCCGATGGCGTTTTCAAATCAAACCTGCGGCCTCCACGTCTGTCTTTTGCACCCAGACGACAGAGCCATGGTTGGGCGTGAGTCCCCAACATAGGCCTCCGTGCATAGACATCCGTAGACATTGCCGGTGCCCAGATCCAAGCCATCCTTCGGGGGAGCAGCCTTCAAGTCCGATATCTCAAAAAAGACGTTCCTTGGAAACGTGCACAGCTAATAAATAATCTTCCTTGCCGATCCTTGGAGCAGTGTCGTGCACAGGCGAGCCCACTCCGTGGTGACAGAAGCCCCATGCTACCGCGTAGGGGGGACGTTTGCTACGGCAGTGTGGTTTGCGTAGCCGGCCCACTGCCGGGGAAACCGAAACCAACTCAGAAGCGGTCCCGGGGAGCTGACCCGGGCTGTTTTGAAACAGGGGTGGCAATTAATGCACGTTTTTGCAAGAAAGCAGCCCCTGACGCGTGCAAAGCCTGGAACAACGGGCAGCCTTTACCCGGGTCGCCACCTGAGCCAGAAGGCGCCCCGAGGAGACGTACTGAGGGTCGGGGAAGCTCACATAAACGTAGACGGCTCCACGATGCCTTCTGTGACTAGGTACTCAAGTGTACTGCCGCACTGCAAGAGAGCTGTACCGTGACAACCAAAGGCAGAGTGCAGTGGCCCCGACCACGGGGGCAAAAGCAGAGTAAAGTCATAGTGACCCGGGGGAGTGAGCCAGCTGCTTTTTACATGAGTTCTTCAGCTTTGCCCCACCTGCATGCCTTGCGGTTTAACCTTGTTGTGCAGTGACTTCAGAGCCGTGTTGTCGTGCAGAGTGTCGTGCAGGAGGTTTCGGGGACGGGGTGTCGAGGCAGGCAGGTAGGCTGCAGAGGCAGTGTCGTGCAAGGTGAGCCGCCTGCGCGCGCTCTGACTCGATAGCAAGCAAGCAAGACAGAGAGAGAGAGAGAGAGACGCCTGTTTCTGTGAGTCCAGCAGCCAAGTCCTCTAAAGTCGTGTTGACATTCGCTGTCCTACCGGGGAATGTTCCTACTTCACGTATGGGCCCTTTTGTTTACACTGTTGTGCCTGGTCTTGCTGCCGATTGTTTGCACCTTAAGTTGTACTCGGGGGGCGCCGCAAGTTTGCACAGTTGTTTTCCTTTTGCACATTTGCTGTGCCCAGGTGGCTGCATTGAATGTCTTCCGTTCCAAATCAGGGTATCTTCCGTGCGTTGAACGCCGGGCTCTCCAAGTCTCGTGCCGACCAACGCGCGGACGGACGGATCCCCACAGGGGGTGGGGGGGGGATACCCGTGTCCTAGATGTGGAGCAAGCAAGCAAGAGAGAGACGCTAGCCCGAACCCAATTGAAGGAAGAGAGAGCGAGTAGCCATTTTGCTGTTTTACCGGAGAGATTGCCGCCCATGCGCTTAGCCGACCGTTGGAGTGACCACGGATGTCCCGCGAGCGAGGGGGGTCCTCGAGAACCAAATGTCTCCGTCCGCCGTGTGCCGACATGCTTCTTGCTGCCTTCGCTGGCCTACACTCCACAGAACTCCCCAGACTCAGGCCCCATAGAAGGAAGGAGCATGTGTCATCGTTGATGCAGTTCCAGTGATATCGACGATACGCCCACTGCAAAATTGCACGGCTGTGGGAGACTGCCCTGAAGATCCCGTTGCTTTTACTTTTCGTGGCCAAGATGGCCACGAAGATGTCGCCGGAGAGACAGTCCGAAGGAGAGCACTCCCAGCACCCGGGGCTTGCCCCCCCAACCCGACAAAAGAAAGTCGGAGACGAGATGAGTGACGAGGGTCACTCTTTCTCTCGCTCTCTCTCTCTCTCTCCCTCTCTCCCTCTCGCTCCCGCTCCCTCCCTCCCTCCCTCCCTCCCTCCCTCCCTCCCTCCCTCAAACAGTGTCCGGGCTTCGTGCATCAGGATCTGGGATGCCGGTTCTTGGCTGCTGGGCATGTTTTCACGAGCTCTTCGACCTGTTGTGGATGCTGCATGCACATCACGGACTAAGAAGCTCGAATGAACGCGTGCATCCGCGAAGATGCTACATGCTCTGGATTCACTGTTTGAACCATGTGCCTCGGGCGGTTGTGAAAGTTGGTTGTAGTTGGCATTGCTTCTTTGTTTCCCTCAGAGCACATTTGGCGTGGTTTCACCGGGGCCTAGGGGCCTCCTTTCACAATCTTGGACTGTGCAGCATCTTCCCTACCCGCAAGCTTGCAGGAAATCCTGGCCAAGCGGAGGCTCCACGCAGGGATAAGTGAACACAAACCACCGGCATTAGCAGTTGCTCATTTATTCATGGCCATGTCAGCATACGCATGCATGTGAGTCAACATCCGCACAAATGCTGGCAGAACAGACTGAACAAAATTGAAGATGGGAGCCGGTCGGGCCAAGTAAAAGCGTTGCGGTCGAGACTGCACTGGCCCTCTTTAAGGGATACAGATTTGCGCGGCATGCGCCTCTCGGAGGCACCGGCTTGTGGCTAAATGACTTGATATCTTCGCACATATCGGTATGCAACTCCTTCAGTAGAGCATGAAGGATCTGAACGCTACGAAGACGGGCGAATTTTAATGTTCAGGATGCAGGCAGTTGCTGTTGGCATCGCTCGCGGCTTGGTTGAGAGACTGGCACGAACGAGAACATGTGGCAGAGCTGTAGCACAAAAAGATTGTGCAAGGGCACCGTTGATGAAGAGCATTGCTGGATGGCTTTGACGGAGCTTTAACATGTTCCACTGACTTGAAGTCCAAGGGCCGAAGCCTTGCACGCGTTGTGTGACTTGTGGCTCCTATCAAGGCCCACTGTAGGGGCCAACATGTAACGTATGCAGTTGACAGATTTGTCCATTTGGCAGCTGGTCCGGGCCTCAGCACCCTTCATGCTAGACCATGTACCAGGCCCATTCTAGGCGTTCCCTTTGACTGTCTCCGCATCGCCTTTCCAGACGAGCTTAGCGCCTTGAAAGAGCCTGCAAACCTGCCCAGTTGCCATCCAAATGCCGGATACTATCGAGGCGGGTGTGGGGGCATGGGCTGAAAGCTCCGGCTCGGACGATGTGTTTCTGTGCATCTCAAAATCTTCAGGGTCAGGCACCAGACATAACATGAGAAGGAAGAGCTTTGTGCAGTAGTTGTCTTGCACATGCGCTTTTCAAGAGAACACCCCAGCACCCTCCCTTCTAGTAACCCTAACAAGCACGGCCGGCCGAGCCGAGCAAAAGCACCTCTGTGAAGCCAAGCAGTGCCAGGTGGGAGAGCAGGAGCAGAGGTCTCTCATTGCCAGAACTAACGACGTCGCCGTACTACAAGTTGCGGGGCGCTGTGATTCTCGCAGGACCAGCTCCGGACTGAGCTAATCGTGAATGCTGCCTGAAGGTCGAAGGCGAAGACAACTCAGTCTGTGCGGCAACAGGCGCGGCTCTAGGTGACATTCTTTGCTGTTGTTGTCGTAGCAGACGGGCAGCAGGCAATACTGTACAATTGTGTCATCGTGTCGTGACGACATGACGATCCAAACCGCTCGATGGCAGTGGCATTGTTCGTGACGCCAGTGGTACCCGTCCGGGCGGCAGTAGTAGGAGGGGGAGTAGGAGTACAGTAGGAGTAGGGGTAGGGGTCGGGGCAGGGGCAGTAGCAGTAGCAGAAGAAGAAGCAGTAGAAGTAGACAGAAGTAGTCACAGTAGCAGCAGTAGAAGTAGGAGCAGGAGCAGGAGCAGGTGTAGTAGCAGGACTAGTAGTGGTAGCAGCAGTAGTAGGCCCCCCCCAACGTTAAGAGCATATCCATTTTACCCGATATTTACCGTACATTCGTGATGTCGTAGTACAATACCAACCACCGCTGTTGAGGGGTGGGCCGGGGGTGTGGATGGAGCGCGGTGGGGCTGGGGGCACGATGCTTTAAGGCCACATCCATTTTACTCGGTATTTACAGGTAGTCCAATACCAACCATGATGATGATGATGATGATGGGTTTATGCGTCAGGTGGTTGCTAGGGTGGTGGTGGCTGGTGCTAGTGTTGGCAGTGGTAGTCGTAGTGGTAGTAGTTGTAGTATTAGTAGTAGTAGTAGTAGTAGTAGTAGCAGCAGGAGTAGGAGTAGGAGTAGGAGTAGGGATAGTAGTCGTAG